ATGATTACATTGCAGGACTAAGACTGCCTCTATTGGCTGTCAATCAGACAATCACTAGAGGCACTTCTGGGATACTCTGCATGAGGACATCCAGCATTAGTAAAATTCCCATAGCAAAGCACTGAAGTAGTGCTTTCCTATGAGGAGGGCCTAATGTGCTCAACGTGCATGCACATTAATCCCCCTCGCCCCCGTCGGATGACACCAGATGATGAGGAGTGACAACCCAGCGCGTGGGATATCAGCACTGGAGTCAGGTGTGTTGTAACCCTTTCAGTGCCGGGGGGAGGGGTGTGTGTGAATACAGATGTGTATTCCTAACACTATAGAATCCCTTTAATTGCAGTATCAAGTTCAGCGTCAGTGCAAATAGCATGATGCCTACGGAAAGCATGCCCAATTAGCATCTGATTGGACATAAGTCATGCGAATTAATCACTTCACTGGAGGAGAAGCAGCTGCTGTGAGGAGACTGAAATAAAAGTTTTATGGCTTTTTGTTCATTTTTTATTTTTACAATTGGACCCAGTCATAGTCTAAAGTAAAAAAATGAACACTAACAGTAAAAATAAATATATTTAGCCTTGCTGGGCATAATCAGTGGCACAATCATTAATGTCACTGTGTGAAGCCACTATTTAATATCAATATTTTAAATGTATACAGTACTATCAAACATTGTAGTTCTTGTTATCCTTCCCAGAGTTCATGCTTTTTATTTGCAGAGTAAATGATATTTCAGCTCTGGAATTTCCACAGTCCCCTTTTACACTGTACTTTCAGATGCGATTAAAAAAGATCCTTCCTTTGCACAGTAAACATCAGGAAGCTTATATCCATTTATATCACATGGAAAATATACTTTATTTTGTTTAATGACAACATTTCCTTTGATGAACTGAGTGAAAAAGAAATGTTCCTGGGATAGTATTTGATTGCTAGATATACGTTCCAAAACAAGGAAAATGTGCCAAATTCCTTGCTTCGAATTTAACAATAACTACACATATCTCTCATGTGATATTTTGCTTAAATTATGTGACTGGAATGAACAAAATGTGTGTGGAATATTATACCACCATAAAGGGTGTGTTTCCTGTTATTTTCCCACAACCGCAGTTAAATTGTGTAAAAGGAGCATTCACTAGTTAGAGCAACTAAGAAAAAGTACCTAGTATGCTATGCATTCATTAAAATACAACTAATCCCCCACATATCCTTCACAGAAGAAACAAAAGGCTGGTTGTATTTGTTGTTTATGTGGGCATTTGCTGTAAAGTCTCTTCTGATCTTGAGCTCAAAAATGGTTTGAAAGAAAACAGAAGAGACAGGACCCAAAGAATCCTTGCACCCTAATCTAACAAAGAACTGCTGTGGTTATGGTGTTTTAATATTTACCAAGCCTACAAGATTGAACAGTAGAAATATGGAATATTAAACTAAACGTATCAATAAATAACAGTGATGTTATTCGTCAATTTAATTCCACAAGTTTCGATAGATCTTTCTGAAGAATATAAATGTATTTTTGGCATTTGTGCATGTAAAACGAGATGTCTGAAAATTCTAAATGTCCCTCATCCCCAAAGATAATACAACTTTACCACTTAGAAGAAAATATATTTAGCCTATTATTACTAATATAGTAGCGCTATTGTCATTTCTTACACTGTACGGTCAATTTGCTTAGCTCATCTAAATGTTTAAAAACAATTTCAGGAAGTATTGCTTTACAGAGAGGGTAGTGGATGCATGGAATAGCCTTCCAGCTGCAGTGGTAGAGGTTAACACAGTAAAGGAGTTTAAGCATGTGTGGGATAGGCATAAGGCTATACCAGCTATGAGCAAGGGACTAATGAAAGTATTTAGAAAACAGGGCAGACTAGATGGGCCAAACGGTTCTTATTTGCCATCACATTCTATGTTTCTATCTATATTGTAGAATTCTAGCTGCAAAGCTTACATTTTTTTCTCATACGTTGACTTGCAGATCTACTGATCATCACTGGGGATGGATCACTAAAACAATGAGAACAAAATTATTACAGAATGTAAGCTAAATTAATGGAAATTAGAAAAAAATCTCCAATAAGGGCAAAATTGATAAACTTATATCTGCTGTTTCAGCGTACAGATTTAAAATGAGTTGATGGCACACCACAGCCCTCTATTTATTAAATAGACTACCAATTTGATTTCTTTTTTTTTACCATACGGTGACAAAATGGCAAGGAAGGATTTGTTTGTGCCATACAAGAAAGGAAGATTTACTTAAATAAACAGAAAAAGACCCATCTGATTGGAAGATGACATTTTAGGCGGGTTTTTGGACGCTTAAATTACAGAACATGAAGAGGACACTCACAAGCTGACTGAGGAAGCCGTTTTTACCGGCGAAACGCGTTTTGGCTTTTAAAGTGGACTCATTATTTTTTCCTGAACCACCAATACTTGCAATAATTTGTTCTTATCCAATTTTTTATTTTCTAGAAAAATATTTTTATACTGTTTTTTATATATATTGTAATAAATTCCCTTATTTTATACTATCCACTGTATCCAGCACCAGTGATTCCAGGGAAGGGGCAGTGTCACCCCACAAACTGACACTAGGCCTATATACTTAGAGCCAGTTACCAAAAGGCTCTAAATAAGGTGAGCACTTCAATTTGTTATTTATATGAAAATACTGCAGAGGATGCTACACTTAGTTGGATAATTCTGTGTCTTTCATATATACGCTGGGGAGAGAAAAAATACACATTAACCTGGAGAGAGGGGTCGTGTGATCTACCCTTAAAGACACAGATGCACGAAAGTTTAGAGCCTAATTCACTTGAAAAGGCTCTAAAAAATGTGAGTGGAGATATATATGTTACCCACTAAACACTTCACTAAAGTAATAGATATACTGCACAATTATCTGTATATATTTCTGTTTTCTTTTGTATATATATTACATTGGAGAATATAAAGGATAATTGCCTTTGAATCACAGGTAATTCACTGTGTTTTCACATACTACACAGCGCTGCACTCATAAAGATAGAAGACCTAAGGGGTGGTAACACCCATTAGATCTGAAATCTTTTTCGTCTTTTGGTACTTAAATAAACCTGTCTGTCCTTCCTTCATCTTCCAGTCTTCAGTCCTGTTGGATGAAGAAAGAAACTACATTGTTCTGTACTCTCATGCATATATCGGATCACAAAACTGCAATCTGTGGATAATCCACAGGGTCAGGAAGACTCTTGGATCCTCTACAGATCATCTCATGCATGTGATGTGCAAGGAGATCTTATAGGCACTTATTGTGCATCGCAAGAAGATGTTGGTTTTCATCAACTGTCACAAGTTACTGATGAGAAATAGCATGATGAAGAAGGGGAAGGGGCGTTGACTCAAATTCTGGCTTTTGCCATAACATGCCAAGAATTAATGGTGACAAAGTATATTCATAAAATAATGATTATGATTGGATTAAAGAGAGAATATTTGCTAATTTAAGAATCAATTTAAAAAGCTTTCTAAATGATTCAACATTGTTAGAAAAACTTCCCCAATGACTTAGCTACAAAAATTCCCATAGACTTCAATGGTGACTTCAGTAGATAAATAATTTGGAAAGCTTTTTTTAACAGTATTGAATCGTTTGGAAAGCTTATTAAATGGAGGCCCTTCTTGCCAAGCTGGAAATCCAACTTGAGTTTGTGAATTTGAACAGCTGTGCTATTGTAGCCCATCTGGTCTCCAATTTAAGTTCATGTTTAGTGAATAAAACCCTAAGTAAACCGGAGAGTCTCTCTGTTCACTACGAGACTGCGACTGGTGTGAGACTCCTATGACTAAGGGCCACCACCAGTAAGGGCAGAATGCTAATGTCTCAGACTAAGACAAAACTAAATATGAACTTCTGACCTATACAGTTTCATCATCTACTTCCTGCAGAATGAAGAGCTTTGGCTAAAGGATGGTAAAACTGGATGAGTATGCTCTTTGTCAGAACTCACTATTACCCCCAACATTTAACAATATAGATTAGTAAATGTACATTTCCTGTTAGATGGCTATAATGTTTATTTTAGGAAGTCTGTGTCTTCCTTTGTACTTTTGAAAACCTAATCTCTGGGCAAATATTTGTGGTCTACTAGAACCAAGCATAGCTTTTCTCTTCAGGTGTGGAACATACATGTAAAAGACAATATTGTATGTGGTGACATCAAAAATACATTTTGACTGATATACATAACACTAAATAAATAAATAAATATTGATGGGCATGCATGTCACAAACTAAGAACAGGTAGTTCTTTTTAACAGCTTGATGTAGCAAGCAGTTGAGTTTGAAACTTTTAAATTGGAACTTTTCATTGAACAGTTGCAAATGGATTTATGGATCACACAAACAAAATAAAAAAAATTATAATAAAAAAGCTATTTTCAGTGAATAAGTCGTCTTATTAGTCTGCTTATTCCTTGGTGGTTTTGTTACCCTGGGCAATGGTACAGATTCTTATCTACTCAACTTCTCTTTACTTATTACACTTCCTTCATATCATATCCAAACGATAACCACACGTTAAAGTGCAAGTCTTCATAAATATATAATAATTTTTTTTTAGAACTACTTTATTTATGAAGGACGACTCAGTATTTATCCTTTACATGCCAGGGTACGCAAATACCTTGTAATTGTGAAAAATAATTTAACCTGCTTTTTTTTTGTAATTATTTTTTTTTACATTTTGTGGATGATTATCAAAAATCTGAACTAAGTGAATATGCTTCACATGAATACCGCTATACATATTTTTAATCCAATCAAGTCTGGCCTTAATATTTGTAATAACAGTGATGCTACAAAGAAAGAATCACAGTGACTTTTTATGCTCAGATTTACTTATGTAGAGCAGTAATTGAAGGCAATAAAGTACATGTATCATGGCTGAATTATTTCTCCTTTTTTTTGTTAATTATACAGTCATCACCATCATCACCCCCACACAAACCCACTGCATGAGACAAAGCCTCACTGTCTACTGCATATCAGACCCCCCCCTCCTCCAAGACTAATGAACTGACCTCAAATTGACTGTCCTGATCCAGGACTCCCAAGTCTCCAGATCGAGTGATGATGCACTGTGCTCCTACAGTATTATAAAGCTAGTCTGTGATCCAGCAGAATCGTGTTACAGAGAAGACTGCTCTCCCCAGCTTTGTAAATCCTAATGGGGATAAGCAGTGAGTGTCCTTTGCTTGCAGTCAGAACTGTCCTGATTGTCTCTCATTGATGGTGTCTCTTCCCTTCTCCTCCCATGGTTTGTGGCTGTCCTGCCTCCTCAGTATCAAAGCTCATTATTCGGCTGTGAACTGCACAGAAGCCGGGGCTACTTAAAGGGGAAGAAGGTGCTAGGAAATAGCTAGCCTCCGACAAGAACATTCTGAGCAATCCTCCGCTCTCTTCTTTTCCCCTCCTCTTATCTGTAGAACAGCCTACTTTCCGTGGTGATGCTCGAGCAGACTATGTGTTGAATTCGACTAACAGCCCATGTAACTTCTTATTTCCTGCCGCATACGATTTTCCACAAATCAAATTATCCAGGCTGGCAAATAAAAATAAGCTGCAAAGAGACTGTTCAGTATAGTCGACATTTGAAATTTTTTTTAGTTCATAAAAAAAAATAAGGAACTTGTTTTGATGATTCATCTCAGACTAGATATTTTTCACCCAAATGTAGCCTACATTTTGCAATCTAGTTTTAAAGTCAGCACAATTCATAGATTAGTGAATAAGCCCTTTCTGCATTATTGTCTCATGGGTGCTATTTGGAAAAAAATCAAGAACAAAATATTAATGAGTTTCCTGCTGCCTTGCTTTTTTTTCTCCACCAGTTGCCACAAGATATTGCTTATATACATTTATTCATTAAATCAGTGCAAAAAAAGTGAAATATTATGACGGTATACCCATGAGTAGCTGAGTTGTCACCGCCAAGTCCCCTTTCCACCATGTGTTCATAGCCCAGAGTGATTAAAGCTCCTGGTCGCTGTATTATCACTGTCTCACCCAAACACTAGGAGACTTTCAAATGCTAGAGGGAGTGGGTTATAATGACACAAAAGGTAAGGGTAGGGTCGATAAGTAGGTTGCTAGAATAGTTTTCACTGATTGTTAAGCATTTTTTTGGATGACAGAATTGCAGTAGGGTAATCAAGGTGTGGGGAGGGAAGGCTATTAACAGTTTTATTGATATGCTTTCTTGAAGAAGTAAATTTGTAACTATTTTTTGAAAGGATGGAGACTGCGTGAGAGTCTAATGGAGTTGTGAAGAGAGCTCCACAGGGACTGTATAGCCCTAGAGAAGTCTTGGAGGTGAGCATCAGAAGTGGGAGTATGGGGGGGCGGAGCCTGAACACCAATGGAGCAGGAAGTGTGAAGCCTGAGCTCTCCCGTCCACGAGCCCTAATCCGCCAACATCGGCATCTTCTACCTGGCATCCAGCCACACGAACGGGCTTTACAGCACCCACAAAGCCCCCTACCCAACATAACAATGGGGGGAAACAAAAAAAAAAGAAAAGAAACCCCACTATCAGTGGCATCCAAGTTCCGGGGCACCAGGGAACAGGGGCGGCCATCTTTAAGCCAGGAGGCTCATGAATCCGGAGCAGACTCTGATGACAGCGAGGCCCCAGACAAAGAAACAACTAATTACCCAAGAACACAAGACCCACTTACCAAAACTGACCTCCACCAGATGTTACTGGCCGCCTCGGCAGTCATAAAGGCGCACACGGCCGCAGAACTGGAGCGGCACATATCAGGCATCAAAGGGGAAACTGAGACCCTGAATAACCGCACATCCCAGACGGAAGCTGCCATAATGCAAGAAATAACATTAGGATAAGGGGCATGCCAGAATCAGTAGACACGGACACCATATTGCCCACGCTACAGGAAATATTCTGGTCCTTACTCCCAAACTCCTCAGACCAAGAGAGGGAGCTAGATAGGGTGCACAGGGCCCTGCGGCCCCTGGCCCTTAACCCATCAGTACCAAGGGACATCATCGTCCGCCTGTTACATTTTGCCACCAAAGAAAAGCTTATGACGGCGGCCAGAACCACACAACAAAAACATGGGAACCACACGTTGGCCTTCTTCCAGGACCTAGCTCCAACCACACTGAGGAAACGAAGGGACCTAAAACCCCTCACCACAGCACTGGCCCAAAAAGGACTGAGATACAGGTGGGGCCATCCCTGTAAACTACAAGTCCACATAGGAGACCAAGAACACGTTCTATACCACCCGGCTGAAATGGAAGAATTTGCAGCGACCTTGGGGCTACAGCTTACCACTGGGGTTCCAGCAAGGGACTGACGCAACAATAACGAATCCAGAGAGGACCACAACCAACAAATACCCGACAATAAGCTAAGAAGAGACCCCCCCCAACAACTGGGACTGCCATCCAGGTGCCTATGACCTGAAACCGGCCCTTAAGGCCGCTGGACTCTCTCTCTGAACGGCGGAAATTACAGCGGAAAACTAAACAATAACCCAGGCCTGTATACCCTGAAATGTTCTAATGTTTACACATGTTACTGTTATAATGTTAATATGGAGGTTTGCATGCTGATGACCCTATGCAAAGATCACCCCGAGCTATAGGTTAGGGCCCAAACCACCTACTTCACAAGGTACCCTTGACCCCTCCTACTATTAAAGTTTACCACTATAGTGGCGCAGGCCCGACCGGCACCGCTACTAAGCTCAGGCGGAGCACTATTCAATTAGAAGGTAAAGGCCCAATCCACCAACACGGTAGGCAGACCCTCCTTATGCTCTGGCCCATGCAGCCACCAGACTCCCACTACGAAAAATAATACAAACCGCTAGAAACTTAAAATGTCACAGGCCGCTATACCTTGAACTCTTAAGCTGCCTCAATATCCTACGGAATTAGTGTTTGTTAGCAATGTTCCCACACTGCCACCAGTGAATAGGAACCACCCTAAATGGTGAAACGGGGCCAAATCTCCAACACACCTAGGGGGACCGGACACTAAGGGGAACCCATCAAATAAACCGGTCTATAAAGCCACCAGCCCCCACTATGAGAAACAAAACACATCAAACAACAGGGAGGAAAAAAGTTACAAAACCTTGCTGTACCTAGGACAAAACCTTTAATCCTATTGCTACCATCATTTTTTTTTTTGGTTTTTTTTCTCTGGACAAAGCGTATAATCTTAATTGTTGTTACTATTGTTTTTCTATATATACAAAAAAAAAGGGTAGGCTAGCACACCCTGAAATGTTAAATAACCTTGATGCACCTGGGACAAGGCGGTTACTCTTATTGTCACCATTGTTTAAAAAAAAAAAAAACACCACTCATGCAAAGGTACCCTCCCCAACAACTAACTGACTCTCACATCCACTAATATCCAGGGGTGATACAGATGGCCCACCATCAGGACACTTCACTGACACCACACAGAAGGCCCCCTGGCTCCTGCTAGCATAGGCTCTCCTTGACCCAAGAACAAACTATAAAAGGTAGCGACAATTAATAACATGCATATTCTCTTTACAGATATCTGAAAGCCTCACCACCTCTATGTCTTGGGCCCTATCACGGCCCCCCCCCCCCAGTGACACCAAGCAGACGGTATCTAGCAACCCGACAACACATCACAACTAAGGTAACACACACACATGGCTCGGAGAGGACGGGAGGTAAGGCCTAACTCCCCTCCAGACAGCTCCGACCTACCACATACGTCCTAACCACAGTAACCCCCCCTACTGGAAGACCATACCTGCTCCCCATCACCGGGGCAACAGACCCCCCAAAAGGGAAAAGGAATAGGACCGCACCCAACCGCAGGTACCCCCCCCTCAACCTCTGCCCACCAGGCCTGGCAACCTAGGTATAAGACCAGGAAAAAACCCAAACTGGGAACCTTCCCCCCCCTTACCTCATCTAAAAGGTGAACCCCTGAACCCTTACACCCAAGGGCTCAGTTCTCCCAGCGCAGGATAGGCCATCAACTAACCAGCACACAACCAATCCTTCCACCCCAGACCCACCCAAACCTCCACCCCCCAACACCACCGTACACATAACAAGGCACACATAACATGCCCTCGGAGTAGACCCAACCAAAAACACGACCGGACAATATGAGCACCAAACTGACATGCATTTCCATCAATTGCAAGGGCCTTAACAACCCAGCAAAGAGACACCAACTGATGAGATGGGCAAACCACTCAAACACAGACATAATGCTGTTGCAAGAAACCCATTTTACACAGACCAAACCCTTCCCTCTAACTAACCGACACTACCGGGAATGCCATATAGCAAACTCCCCTACAACTAAACAAAACTTAGTAGCTATTCTGATGCGGAAAACATGCCCACTCAGCACTAGACAAGTTATAAAAGACCCACAAAGCAGGTTCATCACACTCACGGGACAGGCAGGACACAATCTATACGCTATCACCTCACTATACGCCCCAAACACCCCGGATAAAATGTTCTGGGATACTTTCCAAGCCCACCTAGCCCTAACCCCCGCCACCTCAAAATCATAGGTGGAGACTGCAACGCCACAATGTCGCCATCAATAGACAGACACAGAACAAGAAAACTCCCAAACCCCACGACCAAAATAGACAAACTTTTACAAGATTTTGTGCTGCGACAGAGACTGGTAGACATATGGCGACTGCTCCACCCGACTACCAGGGATTACACGTTTTATTCCCACCCACACAACTCGTACTCCCGCATTGACCTCTTTCTGACTTCACCCTCCCTCACACACATGATCCAAACGGCCAACATAGACAACATCACTTGGTCAGACCATGCAGACATCTCAATAACAATTAAGGTCCCCGACGTAGCCAGACCATGGTCCTGGAAACTTAACCCCACACTATTACACAACCCGCAGACGACAGAAGCAATACGAACAGAACTAACGAACTACTTCACACTAAACATGCCCTCGGCGCCCTCACCGGGCATACTGTGGGCAGCCCATAAGGCAGTCATAAGAGGCAAAATAATAAGCATCGCATCACACCAAAAAAAAAAAACCCCAACTAGCCGACCTAGCGAAATCTCTCACAAACCTTAGGACCCTGGAAACAAGTCATAAACGAAACCCCACACAAGACATTCTCACGGAAATGACAGAATGCCGAAACAAAATTAAAGACTTCATGACTAGAGACGCGGCCAAAGCCATACAATGGACAAAACAGACCTACTATGAAAAATCCAACAAAGCCGACACCTTACTAGCCCGAAAGTTACAATGCAGGACTGATCATAAACGAATAGACGTAATACAAACACCAGACGGCACGAAACACTCCATTCCGACAAAAATCGGCGAGGTCTTCCAAAAATACTTTTCCACGCTATATGACCATAGCCCCAACTTACGACAACATCCCGAAGAGACCAGGCAATCAATAGACACATACCTACGGCAGATACCCCTACTGGCTCTAAAGACGGAAGCCATCTCCAAAATAAGCGAACCAATCACCATC